CTGGGCGGGCGTCCTGTCGCCGATGGCGTCCTGCGGGGGGCGGGGGGGTGGGGGGCACGGCATGCGGGGGAGGTGGGCAAAGGTGGTGATCACACACCGCGCGGCAGCGGCAGGGAGCGTTCTGGTCACGAGCAGCCGCTGCTCCCTGCCGCCCACCCGCTTCTCCCCCGACTCCTGCTCAATCTCCTCTTGTTCCACCGGCCACGGCAGCTCGCCATCATCCAGCGACAGCGCCGCCGCCTCGTCGTCCGTCGCGTCGCCGCCGTCCTCGCCGATGCCGCGCAGCACGCTGAGGTCTGCGGGCGGCGGCGGCGGCGGCGCGCAGGGAAGGTGGGTGCCCCGCGCCAGGCGCCACGCTTTGGCATTTGGGCGCCCTGCGCCGCACTGCCGTGCTGGCTGCCCTGCCGGCCAGCCTCGCTCGCCCCAGCCCAGCCCAGCCCAGCCCCCCCTACAAGCCACCCCACGCGCCTCACCCTCCGCCTCCTCCTCCAGCCCCAGCTCAGCCAGCTTCTTCCGCGCCTTGCCCGCCTTGCCCGCCAGCCCCTTGAGCACCGGAGTGCTGCATGCCGGCACGCCTGCAGGGGTGGGGTGGCGGGCAGGCCCAGCCGCGGCGCAGGCCAAGCGCAAGGGTCAGCCAGTGCGTGGCACAGCAGCGCGGCACAGGGGTGCCAGGACTGCGTGCCGGCCAGCGGATGCGCGGGTCGGCAGGCAGGCAGGCCAGCAGGCGGGCAGACAGGCGGCTGCGGGGGGCGCTGCTGGGCCCTCATCCTCGCCTGCGGGTGTGAACACCTCTGGCGTGAGCGGCGACTTGGTGCCCTGGCCCCACACGCTGTGCAGGCGGATGTCCCACATCTTCTTCGGCCGCTTGTCCTTCTCGCCCATCAGCCCCATCGCGTTGGGGATCTGCGGCGGCGGCGGCGTGGGGTGGCGGGCACGGGGCTGGTTGGGGCGGGAGGGAGGGACTCCAGGCGTGCCGAGGCATGCAAGCGCACACATCCACCACCACCCACCACCCACCGCCAGACGACCATACACACAGGCAGGCAGGCAGGCAAGCGCCCAGCCCCCACCTTGAACACCCTCTCCAGCGGAAGCGGGTCCTTGCCCTTATCCTTGTCCCGGTTCTCCGCCCCCGCAAACAGCAGCGTCTGCACCTGCGCCCCGCTGCCCACATTCATGTGCTGGGCGTCGCCCACCTTGCGGGCAGCCCAGCGCCTGCGGGGGGTGGTGGGGACCGGGGCGGGGCGTCTGCGGCTGTGCAGGCGGCACCGAGAGCACACATGGCTGGCTGCCCGCACAGCACGCAAGCAGGCACCCCCCACACCTGAACCGATCCTGCGCGCGCTGCTGGTCTGCCTGTGCCTGCTGCTGCGCCGCCGCCAGGTGGCTCCTGTCTACCGCCATGCCTACCGCCTCCATATCTGTCAGCAGCGCGCCAAAGGGCAGCCAGGCGCGGCAGTACACATCCCACATGCAGCCCAGCTGGATGCCAGCCTGCAGGCGGGGCCGGAAAGGCGGCGCGCGGGGTGGGTGGGCAGGCGGCATGCACGCCAGCCGGTGCACGGCACACAGCGCGGCGCCGCTGCTGGGCCCTGCCCCGCGCCGCGCCATCTCGTCAACAGCTGGCATGGAGCACGATTCCAAGCGGCAGCACAACTCCCGCCACATCACCACCACCCCTCAAAGCTGGCATGGAGCACGGCCCCAAGCGGCAGCACCCGCCGCGCCCCC